ATAGGCGCCGAGCCTGGGAAATGATTTCTATTTTAGGTGTCAAAACATCTTTCACCTCCCTTACTCATTCTACCTCAGGTTAACTCACTGGATGCTCAGACACAAACCGGCCTTTCCTGTAAGAAAGAAAAACACTTTTGTTACTGTTTATTTTAGCTCCCTACTGTGTATTTCCTTAGGTACAAATTCCTGTGCCTGCTTTTTGGATCTTTCATAATGTTAGGTTACCTATCCAGCTTTATCTTTCATTATCTCCCAGCACATGCCCTTTATTCAAATCAGGCGCATCTATTTTCCTGAATGTATTTAAGCTCAAACCTATTCCTGTTTCTGGACTTCAGCTTGTACTTTCTCTCATGATCCTGTCCTTTGAGGGGGCACCCCAGGCTTCCCTGATAACTGTAATTGGGAGTAAGCGCTCCTGTTCTGACTGGATGTATCACTTACTATGTACATGGAACCATTTCTGCTGCTTCACTGTTACCTTTAGCTGTCATACACTGTCTTCTAGGGTTCTCTAATCATATATAAATTAACTGGAATTTAAGTGTCTTGACACAAGAAACTAGGTCCCTCATATTGCCTTAGCACATGCTAGTTATTCCAATAAATGTACCCATGTAGCAGAATTCACTGCTGGTGGTGATGGTGGTCCAAGTGGAGACATTTTTCTGAAAATGCATCTGTGTCTCTTATTTTTTTCAAGAATGTACTTGATAGGGAGTTTTACATTCACCTCTTCCCTACTTGTTTTGGTGACAGGCTGTTGATGATGTAAAGAAAGGTTACATCAAAGCAGAGGAAAAGTCTTACCAATTGCAGAAGCTGTATGAACAAAGGAAAATGGTCATGGTAAGTTTATGTCCTCATAATTCCTTTATAAAATGCCCCCTCTAATCTCTTAAACCTGTCGCTCCAGTCATTTTTTATAGGCTTGTGACTTGGTCAATTGCTTAACTAATTAAAAAAAAAAGGAGAGGAATATAGACCTTAATACTGAGACCATGTGTTCCTCCACTGAACACACAAAGAGCTAGTGTCACTGTACATTGGAATATAATTTTATTATTAATAACTAAGTAGTATTCTTCACTTGATCTTAGCCAAAAGGCCAAGAAGCATTAAATAGTATTCTTTTTGATAAAAAGTGCTACCAAAAAAATGTGTAAAACATTACAGTATAATATAGATACAATTAAATAAGAACTGATTTTTAGGGTTTTTTTCTTTATTTTATTTTATTTTATTTTTTTCTTTTTGAGACAGAGTCTCAAGCTGTCGCCTTGGGTAGAGTGCTGTGGCATCACAGCTCATAGCAACCACATACTCTTGGGCTTAAGCAATTCTCCTGCCTCAGCCTTCCAAGTAGCTGGGAGTATAGGCACCTGTCACAATGCCTGGCTATCTTTTGTTGTTGCAGTTGTTATTATTGTTTTAGCTGGCCCAGGCTGGGTTCGAACTGGCCAGCCTTGGTGTATGTGGCCAGTGCCCTACCTACTGAGCTATGGGCGTCACCTTGATTTTTAGATTTTTAACATTAGAAATTATTTTTAGCTGGGCATCATACTAGGTGCCTGTAGTCCCAGCTACTCAGGAGGCTGAGACGAGAGGATCACTTGAGCCGAAGAGGAGTTTGATGTTGCTGTGAGCCGTGGCACTCTACCCAGGGCAATTGAGTGAGACTCTATCTCAAAAAAAAAAAAAATCATTTTAATTGTGATTTAGCAAGAGTAAAGCCATTTATTTATTTTTAGAAAGAGTCTTCCTGGGCTGAAGTATAGTGGCCTCAAATTCCTGGATTCAGGCAATCTTCCTGACTCAGCCTCCTCAGTAACTGGAACTACAGGTGCCCACCACACCTGGCTAGTTTTGTATTTTTAGCAGAGATGTAGTTTTTGTATTTTTAGTAGAGATGGGGTCTCGATTTGCTTGGGCTGGTCTCGAACTCCTAAGCTCAAGCCATCCACCTGCCTCAGCCTCCCAGAGGGCTGGGATGATAGGCATGAGCCACCATGCCTGGCCAACTGTGTGCAATTATTATTTTTGAATAGAGACAGGGTCTCACTTTGTCACCCAGGCTGGAGTACAGCAGCACTGTCATAGCACTGCAGCTTGAACTTACGGGCTCAATCATTTTCATTCCTTCAGTTGCTTAAACATTTGTGCTCAGTAGTGCTTTTGGTTAGTTGATATCCAAGAGCTATGCCATTTGGTTTTATATATATATATATAATTAATTATTTTTTATTAAATCATAACTTTGTACATTGATGCATTTATGGGGTTCAGGGTACTACTTCAATATACAATGTGAAATGTTTACATTGAACCAAGTAACACATCCATCACAATTATACTCATTTCTTAATAGTTTTGAAATGTACGATTGCATTATGCATATTAGGTGAGGTCCCCCCAAATACCCTTCCTTCTCCCATATATCCCTTCTCCCCACCCCCTCTCTCCTCTTCCCTTCTACTTTATGGACTATAGTTATTATGTTTTCCCATTCAATTGTGTAGGTGGTTATATATTGACTTCATAGTAGTATCAAGCTATGCCATTTGATTCAATAGCTACTAGACTTCTGTGGCTATTTAAATCTAAGTTTAAATTCACTTAACTTATATAAAATTAAAAATTCATTTCTTTAGTTGCCCAAACCACATTTCAAGTCTTGAGTAGCTGTCTACGTATGTATGGCTGGTAGTTAACCATATTGAACAGTGCAGGTGTGGAGCATTTTCTTTATAACAGAAAATTCTTTAAGACACGGCTGCCTAGAATATTCCTTAAATTAGTTTTCACTTTGTATTTGCCATAAGTACAGGGTAGAAAATAAAATTAATAAACAACAAAAATAAATTAATAAAGAACACTTAGAAAAACGATTTCCACTTCACCATTTAAAGATTTCTCTATTGGCAAATCCACATGTAGTTGAAATTTTCCCAGTTACAGATGGTCCTCAACTAATGGTGGAATTACATCCTGATACTCATTTTAAGTGGAAAATATCATAAGTGAAAAATGCATTTAATATTCCTGCCTGCCAAACATCATTGCTTAGCCTAGCCTACCTTAAACATACTCAGAACACTTACATTGGCCTACAGTTGAGCAAAATTATCTAATACAAAGCCTATTTTATAATGAAAAATTTTGACCTAAAATTCAAAGTTCAGTTTCAACTGAGTGAGTGGGTATATCACTTTTGTGCTATTGTAAAGTTGAAAAATCATTAAGATTAACCACAGTTCAACCACAGTTATGATTGAATAACTTTTCAGGGTCTAACATAAGATAATAATTGCATTGGTAATAATTCAATAGGTCATTTGAATTCTTTGGTACTTTTCATGAGGAAATGTTTATCCATCTAAAATTAATTGGATTGGAATAAGAATGCAAAAAGTCTGATATTGAACTTAGACCATAATCTTTTTTTTTTTTTTTGGAGAGAGAGAGAGTCTTATTCTGTTGCCCTTGGTAAAGTGCTGTGGTGCACTCTAACAAGAGTGCCTAGAATGCCTCAAACTCTTGCCGCCCATAATCTTACCTCTAGCTAGGATAGTTATTTTATCATTAAGTCTCTTTGCCTTAGAATATTGCCAAAAGTAAGTAAGCCATCTTACCAATGTTCTGGGTATCAGCAGGCTAAAATAGAAAATGCAAAAATCTTTTCAGTATATTAAATCTTGATAAAATTTTAGAGAATTTTACTATGTAGGAGACAAAATTTTATTTATTTATTTAAAAATAGGGTCTCACTTTTGCTCAGGCTAATCTTGAACTTCTAAGCTTAAGTAATCCTCCCACCTTGGCATCCCAAAGTGTTAGGATACAGGCATGAGCTGCTGCTCCCAACCAAGATAGGATTTTTTTTTTTTT